CAGTGACGAGTACAGAGCAGAAATAGATCTCCCCATTCCACTTTTTTCGAAATTAGAACTTCAATCGGTGAATTAAAAAGTGGTAAATTCTATTAAATTTTCAAAATTATGGAAATTTGATTTTCTGTTACAATACTCGACTTTGCTAATACAGCGTCCAGATGAATGCTGGGGCTGGCCGAGCCAGTACTAGGTCGCTAAAAGGCCAAACAGACAAATTTAAAGGAATTTGTGAAGCCTCTTTTGCTCTGCATCTCCTAAAACAACAACAAAGATAGAGGCTGCCTGAAACAACATTCCCCCTTGAGCGACCTTGTACAGGCTCGGCCAATCCCAGCGTTCATTCTGACCCATTTATTAGCAAAGTCGCGAATTACTTTACATCCTTTGGCGTGTAGAGCAATCGCAATCTTAATAAAATTAGAAGGCTGAGGAGAGAAAGAGCGAAGCGAAAAGAGGGGGGAGGGGATCTTGCTATAGAAATTACTCGTCTTCCCTCGCCTTCCCCCCACCCCCCCCCCCCCCACTGTCTTGTCAGAAGTAAAACTCTAACACTCGTTGTGTTGACTATTTCTTCTACACAAGTTACGATGACGGGTACTAGCTCATATCTCTCAAGGAAAATGTGGGTCACTGCTTATCAAGGTGACGCTTACTGAGCTATCAATCTCTAACTTTCGTCATCCTTTTACACATAACTAGCGAAACACGTTAAGCTACGTAGAGCGGAGTTCGTATACCAAGTAGATACCTTCGAGATGTTCACGCTTTACAATATGACTTTCTATCTTAAATTTCTCAGTCTAACGGTCAAGGTCGGGCTAAACAAAAACAAGATCGGCGAGATAAAAGTTATAATGAACTTACAATCAGAATGAGAATCATATTTGAAAAGACATCTTAAGAGAAAATAGTCTTCGAAGACTGTTACACAACTGCAGAATAAACAGAAAATTCGGAGAAGAAAGGGCGTACCCAAAGTACTGCCTCTAAAAGAGGTACGTGCTGTTTGTTTCAGTTACCTGATTCTAAATTAAGTACAGAGGATGAAAAGTATTACAAATTTACACCCTAAGTCACCTCTAAGAAAAAGAGGTGCTAAATTAAGATTTAAGAGCTATTTTCCTGATCGGGAATTCGACCTGGATTTAGCCTATAAAACGAGAATATTAAAGAGTGAAAAGTATAAGGAGGGTTATTTCCAGGAAATTCCTGTACGGGATCAATTTTTATAAGATAAAGTCATTTTCCTTCATAATTAGACATCTTTTACCAACATAATGGAAATATACCGATATTTAGCCGCAAACCACAGTTTACGCAAAAACATCCGTCTCCATGTCAAATTCACGATCACAATAAGGAAAAGGTGACCAAAATTCCACCTGTAACCAAAAGGAATTAGAAATGATCAACTAGCTTATTATAATTTTTACTGAATGGCTTATGGTAATATATTGTTTCCATTCATTTTTCAACACCAATATAAGAAACCCTTAAAATGTTTTTAAATTAGATATATTTCTATTTTTATCGTTTGACAGTTTGCTCTAACTCTAAATCAAGCATTGCCGGTCGTATTTGTAACGTTAACTCGCCCTAAGAGATTATAATCTCTTGCTCATATTATTAAAATATCTGCACCGGAAGCTTATAAACAGTTAAAAAACAAAAAACGTTTGCATTTCCTATGCTTTTGACTGCTGATTTTTCAATGTTCTTTTTTTTTAAATTTCAACTGCTTATGGTTCGTGCAATGAAAGAAACTCTAAAAGCATCACATGTATCCGTTGCAGACGAGATGAGATTTCTTATGCTTATATGGAGGATTTTCGTCAAGGCCTTTGCTTCCCTCCTGACAGCTTCTCAATGCAACAACAAGGAAATAAACGAATGAATAAGAAACAAAATGAATATAAAATGAGAAATTCCCTTATCTAACATAACATGCAATAATACAAAAAATACAGGGCAGCTTCAAGAAGCGAAATGAGTTGCACACAAAAAGTTAACCTTCAACCTTCAGAAATGACACATCTAACGTCAAACTTGAATCAAAATGAATCAGTAAAAACTGTCAGCACTATATTTGTTTCTTTCAACCAGTAAAGTTTGTTTTTGCAATGACTGTTTTGATTTGTGTTTTCATTAGAGAATAAACCCCTCCTAACATAGTGGTTTGCGAAATTAACGGTTGAACTAGTGTATTACTTTTTGCCCTTCGTTGGATGTTTGCGTTAGTTCTGACTCATCAATTTACGACGTTGTGGTAATCTGTTCAGCCATTACTAAATTCACTTCCATTGCTAATTTTATTATCTCTTAATCGTGAAAAGAACCTGTTATCATTACGGTCACCTTCACACTCACATTCTTCCGAGTCAAGTTAGGACAGCTCACTTAACTGTTATTTGAAAAAGGCATTGTAACGGCAAGTCAGCCTATATTGTCGAAACAAACAATAATCATCACGGTGTCTATTGCGTAATTATAGTGGTTACTGTGCCGACAGGTTTTACATATAATATAAAGTGTGTGCCTTCGTTAATTAGAAAAAAATTTATCGACAAACGATCAGCTTAGTCGGCATCTTGCTTATTTCGGAAATTTCTGTTCGATTTGAGGTCAGTTCGTTTGGCTAGAACGTTTCCCATCATTATCGATGTTCACAGAAGTTTAGTTTCTTTCGAAAAGGCTAGAAAGACCATTTTAGAATGATGATAATAATTAGAACACTGGAGGCTGACTAATAAAAGGGGAGAGTTAAATGGGAAATTTTTAAACATTTGCGCCACAGCATTTAGATTTTGTTATCAGGCCTGAAAATGTAAATTACTCGTAACTTTTGCAGCAGGAAGGTAATCTTAATCACTCAAAAAAGAATCGAATGAATCAAATTGAGAATCAAAGTGACTATTAGCATCTGCACTAGTATAAATAAGAAGTAAAGTGGTAATCAAATTTTGCAGATAGATGTGACGCTACCAAGAAAGGCTGATAGTAAAGGAAACTTCTCAATGTGCAAATCTTCTACTACTGTCGACGCTATTGAAACTCTTAACAAGAAAAACACCACAATATGCTCTTATAACGACCTGTGTGTTTCCGTTCACATGTGACACGCAACACCAGCATCGTCACTATGGCTACAGCCATGGGGTCCCAGATGTAGGAACGGACAGTCAGATAGCATCTCCTCCCTCCCAGAGCACATGACATAAACCATCCAGATTGCACCAGACCCCTCACCGTATGCAGCGCCAGATACAGTCCGTAATGCACCAGTAAAGCCAAGCTGACGACATACCACTCTAGCATCATTTATATCCCAGGTATTATTACACACCGTGTTCCACCTTCCGCTTTGATAAACTTCTACGCGACCGTATCCACGCCCACCGCCCACTAAACGTACAGCGCCCTCGCCTGTGTAATTAATATGATTAAGGTAATGTATTGGTAAAAAGAAACCATTGATAATCTACAAGGCGTCTAATATTTGGTTTCCGAAATGTGGCAACCGACTGTATAGGTTTTAAGAATGGTCATTTAAAAAAATCGAGCAGAGGTGTTGAAAATAAAACGATTGAAATTTTTTCAAACTTTGCCAGAGCACAGGTATGAATGGCCTTAGTTACGGAAAAATGCCGAAAAATATTATTTTGGGAGAACGGTGGCATTTCGTGTTTTGGGGGTTCATAACCGTGTTTTCCTGGTGAAATAGTGCACCTTAAGATAACGGCCGGAAAAAATTTATTTCGCCAGAAATTATGAAACCACATAACAATTCTAGAACAAGAGATGTTTTTCAAAGGTTCCGAAGTATCTTTTTCCAAAGCTCCTTAAAAAACGATTTTTTACGAATTTTCTAGTTCAGGTAAAATTTCACCCATTAAAACATAGCTCAACTTTGGCGATTAAAATCGGCCATTGTTACATGGCTCCATAAACTGAGACAATAATCACTGTCGAGAAGAAGGTTCTTCTTTCAGAAACTGCAATAAAATTTTTGAGCTACTTAAACTACGAGTTTTTAGAGCAATTTATATACGCGTATTTGAGCTCAAGAAGCGCGTTACGTGACCAACGTGACTTGCACGTCACATTGAGAAAAACATTACCAAAACACTCGAATTCCCTCTTATATCATACAAAAACCTCGAAACAGGTCTCCTTCATATTCAATATATATATAATTTTTTCCTCAAGCCAAAAAAAAGTCAAGGCAATCTGGGCAATTTTTCGATAGTCTGGTATATGCAAATTGCTGGGTTATGTTCTTACAACGACCATATTGACAACTAATACCAACCCAACAATAGCAAAAACTTTTTTAACATTAGAAAGAATTGCCCAGGCTATACTTACGCAAAATATTACCTTTAGAAGTGGTTTCCATGCCAAGAGTGTGCACTTTAGCCCGCTCCACCGTTTTCAAAACTTATCCATGCTACCATTTCTCGTCACTGCAGTGCGATAGATGGTATGTGATTGCGTTACACAGGAAGGCCATTAAGTGAGAATGATACAGAAGATGACCAACGTTTTTGACAGAACAAAGTTGGTCTTTATAAATTCCGTTCTATCTAAAACATGTTTATTTAAATGTGAGGTTTTCACTGCCAGTTTTTTTTTTATAAAAAAGCTACAAAGGGATAATGACATGTCGTAGCCGCGCATGACGCATATGCACCAATTGTACTTATTTCTCTCAAGACATTTAGAAAATGTTGGTGTCTCTCTATTCCAGGAGTCCTTACTTTCTGAATACGAAGACTATGGTCACTTCTAACTGGAAAGCTTCTATTTTTCTTTGCACGTACACGACTTTATCAGTTCGTTGATCAGACCAATGTATGGCGCTGTTCGTGTAGCAGGAAGGGAATCAATGTCCAAGTAGAATTATGAAGGAAAGAAATACTGAGACGGGTAAGCTTGTTCGTGGCATACAGTTGACAGAGGTTGTATGTGTCATACAAAATGGGATGACTAAACTGGCACTATTGAATTATCTTGTCATGAGCTGAGGAGTATGCCATTTCTTCATCAGTGGCTGGTACATCGATTTCTGCCACCGATCTTGCCTGATTGATCTTTGCTACTGACCTTGAGAAATACGACTTTATCTGCTGTGGTGATAAAAACTCGTCAACAGCAAATCGACGCTCTCCGTTTTCATTTGTAGCACGACACATATCACTGGCAACTTGGGATGGATCTTCTTTGTAACCAGTCTCCTGGCCAAGTTTGAACTTTTCATCGAAATAATTCTTTTGGTTTTCGTTGAAATGCGTTGATTTCTTAGACGCCCTCAGTGCCCAGCCTTACGAAAGTTTTTTCGAGCAGTAGAGCTGGCCATCTGCCCTTGCCGTAAAGAAAACCCTTCAGTGGTCTAAGGTACCAGATGAGAATCAAAATGAAATTATCTTTAATTGCACAACCGCTGATAATAAACTAAAAATATATATGGTGCTCTGCAATGTTAAAACATATATTAGAAATATCAATATGCAATGTTGTAGTCGCTAATTCAACATTTATTTCTAAGCTCTCAACAATCGAGATCAGTTATATGATTCGAATATGTATGAGCTTTAGGGAATCCGCGGTAAGGTTAAATGAAAAACTACAACAAAAGACATGTTCGACTCCTATCGTCCACGTGTTTTGTTTGCTTTTTGCCCGCTATGCCTTATGAGAGGCACAGGCCTCCCAACACTATAGCAAGAAGTTCCCTTTTTTTAATATAAATGTTCAAAAAAAAGGTAACAACAAATGTTTTTTTGTTTAGTTCAAGTGAATCTATTACCAATATCTTCGATTTCAATAGAGCTTTCCTCTGGAGATTTTGTGGAAACGTCAAATCAAACTGCTACACAGCGCCCTGAAGTATCATTGGAGAATACCGCAGTGGAAGTAGAAGAAGAAACAGAGAAAGATGAAGGTGAAGCCCGAGACGAAAGTGAAGACGTATTCCACAGTGGCTTATTTTTATGTCCCTCTGAAGGGTGCGTCTTTGAATTCAAGAAGTATTCGAGTCTCGAATATTATATTCTTTACGGCAAGTGCAGGATAGTATAAGAGAAAACTACCGTCATTGATAAAGCAAAAATACTCTATGTGCAAGAGCTGATAGAAGGAACAAGCACACAACCTCAGATGGCCAGCTCTACTGCTCGAAAAAACTTTCGTAAGGCTGGGCACTGAGGGCGTCTAAGAAATCAACGCATTTCAACGAAAACCAAAAGAATTATTTCGATGAAAAGTTCAAACTTGGCCAGGAGACTGGTTACAAAGAAGATCCATCCCAAGTTGCCAGTGATATGTGTCGTGCTACAAATGAAAACGGAGAGCGTCGATTTGCTGTTGACGAGTTTTTATCACCACAGCAGATAAAGTCGTATTTCTCAAGGTCAGTAGCAAAGATCAATCAGGCAAGATCGGTGGCAGAAATCGATGTACCAGCCACTGATGAAGAAATGGCATACTCCTCAGCTCATGACAAGATAATTCAATAGTGCCAGTTTAGTCATCCCATTTTGTATGACACATACAACCTCTGTCAACTGTATGCCACGAACAAGCTTACCCGTCTCAGTATTTCTTTCCTTCATAATTCTACTTGGACATTGATTCCCTTCCTGCTACACGAACAGCGCCATACATTGGTCTGATCAACGAACTGATAAAGTCGTGTACGTGCAAAGAAAAATAGAAGCTTTCCAGTTAGAAGTGACCATAGTCTTCGTATTCAGAAAGTAAGGACTCCTGGAATAGAGAGACACCAACATTTTCTAAATGTCTTGAGAGAAATAAGTACAATTGGTGCATATGCGTCATGCGCGGCTACGACATGTCATTATCCCTTTGTAGCTTTTTTATAAAAAAAAAACTGGCAGTGAAAACCTCACATTTAAATAAACATGTTTTAGATAGAACGGAATTTATAAAGACCAACTTTGTTCTGTCAAAAACGTTGGTCATCTTCTGTATCATTCTCACTTAATGGCCTTCCTGTGTAACGCAATCACATACCATCTATCGCACTGCAGTGACGAGAAATGGTAGCATGGATAAGTTTTGAAAACGGTGGAGCGGGCTAAAGTGCACACTCTTGGCATGGAAACCACTTCTAAAGGTAATATTTTGCGTAATTATAGCCTGGGCAATTCTTTCTAATGTTAAAAAAGTTTTTGCTATTGTTGGGTTGGTATTAGTTTCCATTATGGCCGTTGTAAGAACATAACCCAGCAATTTGCATGTACTAGATTACCGAAAAATTGCCCAGATTGCATTGACTTTTTGGCTTGAGGAGAAAATTATATATATATTGAATATGAAGGAGACCTGTTTCGAGGTTTTTGTATGATATAAGAGGGAATTCGAGTGTTTTGGTAATGTTTTTCTCAATGTGACGTGCAAGTCACGTTGGTCACGTAACGCGCTTCTTGAGCTCAAATACGCGTATATAAATTGCTCTAAAAACTCGTAGTTTAAGTA